CTCCATTCCTCATCTAGTTTCATCACAGTTTTGTGTGATGTCCTGAAACTTGTGGACTAAGTGATGAGGATGGCCAGGACAAAGGTGTCCCATAGACAGTAGTGGTGGAGACGAGACAAAAGAGAAATTAGCTGACAGCAATACACATGGCACAGTAAAAAAAGGAAGTAGCTGTTATGTTCAGAAGATGAAGATTCAGGTAAGTTCAGAATGCAGGGGTTATTGCTGAAGACACAGTGGAAAAGATTGGGGTAATGGCAAGAGACTGGAGATCAGATGGGGATGTTGAGTTTCCAGGTCTACCTGAGAGGTGTGGGCCCATGGAGACTGAGGAACAGATGCATGTCTTAGAAGTTCTTAGGGGAAGGGATAATCAGGTGCAGTCCCACCGTTCTTTGTGGGTCAGCTCTGATATTAAGGGTGGTGCCATGTCCGCATCTAGTGGCCCTACCCAGGAATGGTGCTCTCTGTAGATCCCTGCTGTGGGGGTATGTGGTGGTTTGGTAAGGGAAGTCCTAATGGGAACACAGGAAGCCCCTCTTGCTGAAGGTGTATGCTGCATCTGGCAGACATTCACCACAATTTCTAAACAGTACTATCCCTTTTAGAAACCTAAGAAAATCATTAGAATTAGTAAGCAAAATTCAGCATGATTGGTGAATAGGTTATCTGCATATTGAAGTCAACATACCAAAAATCAGAAAATATGAAAAATAAGTATGATAATCACAGTAACAGCAGAAATTATATCTAGGAATCGTCTTTTTAAAAAATTCACAGAGAAAAGACAAAGCTTTTCTAAAGGATTAAAGAGATATTCCATTAAAAGAATATTAATGAGATATTCAATGTTCGTGGGTAGAAGAACTATTTTTATTAAGAGGTCACAAATTAAAAGCAATATCATTAAAATTGCTACAGTTTTTTAAAAAATAGAATGTGAAAAAAAAGATTCTAAAATGTATGTGGAGTTATAAGGGTGCAAAAATAGCCAAGACTTTTGCAGAACCAAGAGGGTTAGAGGATAGAGCAACCGGCTCTGTGAATTATAAAGACAAAAATGAACTTTAGTCATTGAAACAAGGTGGTGGTGATCACGAGTAGACAAACAGAATAGAGGATGAAGAAACAAAGCCACATATATCTGCAAGTTTAATGTACACCATCGATGACATTTCACATCAGAGGAGGAAAGTAATGCTTCATAAGTGATACTGGAAGGACTAGCTATCCAAATGGTATAAAATCAGATTTCTTCCTCGTACCATGCACAAAAATTTCTTGTGTTTTATACAGGATGTAAACAAAATTTTAAAATTGTAAGAAAAAAATAATACTAGGGGAGACCTTTAAAGAAGAATTAAGTAACAAAAAAGTAAAACCCACAACAAAATAGTCTACCAAAATTTAAATCTTTGGTAGCAAAGGACACCATAAAGTTAAAAGACATGCAGTTGACACAACCCCCCAAATGAAGTAACAGGTGAGAATGTTAGTGAAATTAGAGTCCCCTTTGCTGAATCCTCTTATCCAAACTGGTGCTTTGTGCAGTCTGGGTTGTTTGCTTGTTGGGGTAACCCAGACCTTCATCCCTAAGGTGTCAGCCCCTAGTTGGGGTTGTGTTTCTTGCTCTTTAAAAAAGTTTAAGGATACCTCAGTTCCCTGGGTTCCAGACACTCCTCCCTACTACCATTATATACTATAGCCCCAGTCCCTGATGTTTATAAGTTACAACCCCAATCATTATAGTCACTCCTTTCTTTGCCTGTTGGGCCACTGACACACACACACACACCCACCCACACACACACACACACACCCCACACCAAAAAACAGGTGGAAATCTCAGCACACACACACAAAACCCACCAAAAAACAGGTGGAAATCTCAGCTTCCAGTCAAGTAGAACACTTGCTATGACCCTTGAAAGAATTGTCTTTACTCCCACCTGCAGGAACTAGGACTGATAACCACTGAGAGCCCAAGGCTGCACAAATGTAAAACAAAAAATATGCAAGTGTATCACTGGTTGTAATAAAAGGGGCCATTCCTACACCTGTTGGCTCTAGACTAGTGTATACTGGTGACATGTAGGTTTATGAGTCGTTGCTGCAGAGCATATACCACATCCTGGATTGGAGGATTGTGTCCAAATCTCACTTAGTGTTGTCCCTTCAGCCATTTCTTTTACATGTTTTAGTAATTTTTTACTGGTTTCCCTGAGAATTACTATTAATATCTTAATAGCAGTTTAGCTTGAATCAACACCAACTTAATTTTAATAGTATCCAAAAACTTTGCTTCTATATAACCCCTTTCTTTGTCCCCTCCTGTCTGCTGTTGTCATAGATAAGATCTTTTTACATTTTGTGCCAACAACACAGATTTATAATTTGTGCTTTATGCTTTGTCTTTTAAATCATGTAGGTGAAAAAAAAGCATTAAACAATAAATACATTTATGCTGTCTTTCATATTTACCTTTCAGTTATATTTACTGATGCTCTTTATAATGTCCTTTTCATTTAGTATGAAAGATCCTCTTTATATTTCTTCAATATTCTTTAGAGGTGAAATTCATGTAACATGAAATTAACCATTTTAAAGTGTGCAATTCAATTTCCTTTAGCACATTCGCAATGTTGTGTAACCACCGCCTTTATCAACCCAAGAAACACCACATACCACGTTAAGCAGTCATTCCCATTCTCTCTTTCCCCAGCTCCTGGCAACCACCTATTTGGTTTCTGTCTCTATGGATTTACCTATGCTGGATATTTCATATAATGTAATTGTATAGTATGTGATCTTTTGTGTCTGACTTCTTTTATTTAGCATAATGTTTTTAAGGCTCATACACATTGCAGCATTTATGAGTACTTCATTCCTTTGTATGGCTGAATAATATTTCATTGTGTGTATATACACCATAATTTGTTTATTCATCTGCTGATGAACATTTATGTTGTTTCCACCTTTCAGTTATTGTAAATAATGCTGCTGTAAACATTTGTATGCAAGTTTTGGTTTAAACACCTGTTGTCAATTATTTTGGGTATATACCTAGGAGTGCTGGGTTATATGGGAATTATGTTTAATTTTTCAAGGAGCTGCCTAACTACATTTCTAGTGGCTAGACCATTTTACATTCCCAACAGCAATGTATGAGGCCTCCAATTTCTACACATGCTCACTAATACTTGTTAGTTTCTTTTTTGTTTGTTCATTTTATTCCAGCCATCCCAGTGGTATGAAGTGGTATCTCATTGTGGTTTTGATTCCTTTTTCTAATGACTATTGATGTTGAACATCTTTTCATGTGCTTTTTGGCTATTTGTATATTATTTTGGGAGAAGTGTTTAAATCCTTTGTCAATTCTTAAATAGGATTGATTATATAAATTGGATTATATAAATAGGATTATATTATTATATTATATAATATATTATATAAATAGGATTATATATTATATAAATAGGATTGATTATATAACACAAATTATATAAAGGGATCAAAAAGAAATTCCAAAACTGTAAGGTATAAAACTGAAGTAAATTCACTAGAGAGTTTCAACAGCAGATTTAAGCAGAAGAATCAGTGAACTTGAAGATAGGACAAATGAAATGATCAAGTCTGAGGAGCCTGAAATCCTCACACTCATCACATTATGTCTATATCTTATGTGCAGTCATGCACTGCATAACAATGTTTTGGCCAACAACGGACTGCATATATGACAGTGTTCTCATAAGATTATAATACCATATTTTTGCTGTTCCTTTTCTATGTTTAGATATGTTTAGACACACAAATACTTACCATTGTATTAAAATTGCCTACAGTATTCAGTACAGTAACATGCTGTGCAGGTTTGTAGCTTAGGAGCCATAGGCTGTGCCATGTAGCCTGGTAGTAGGTTGGACCATCTAGGTTTATATACGAACACTCTACGATGTTCACACAATGACAAAATTGTCTAACAAGCCTACAGTATTCAGTACAGTAACATGCTGTGCAGGTTTGTAGCTTAGGAGCCATAGGCTGTGCCATGTAGCCTGGTAGTAGGTTGGACCATCTAGGTTTATATACGAACACTCTACGATGTTCACACAATGACAAAATTGTCTAACAAGTCATTTCTTAGAATGTGTCTCTGTTGTTAAGACACATGACTGTATGTATCTATATCATCCTTCTTGCACATTCATGTTTCTGTTGCTGATGAGGGATCTAGTGAAGCAGGATCTCATATCTGAGATCCAAAAGTAATGACTCACACTATGAGTGTTGAGTGTCCACAAAGCCATTTATTACCCCAGAAGCTCCAATTGTTGCCTGTTTCCAGAAATAACAATCACCACAGCAACTGTATATAATGAGTGCCTACAATATGTTAGATGTTGTGCTAATAGATCTATGGGTGATACCACAGGAAGACATCACAACAGTCTTTTGAGTTAATATATTCCCATTTTATAGCTGGAAAATCTAAGCAACTTACGGTATATAAATGTTAACTTGCCTAGTATGAAACAATAATACCTGGCAGGATTTGATTTGGAATCTAAATCTATTTGACTGCACAGCCTAGACAAGTCATAAAAACATGCAATTTAATTCCAAGGCTTTTCAAGAAGTGTGTTCCTTTTGCTCTGTAAGTCACCCAGCATATCTATCATGAGAAGCTGCTAAGAGTATATCATACTTGAATGTCAAGTATCTTTAAACGTGATGATGGGAAATAAGTCATGGCTAAGTAGGAACATACATCCACGCCCCTAAAGTCACAGTGGTATGCATTCTAATTGCTAGGTCTTTTCTCTAGGATGCTTCAAACACATTTTAAAGTAGAAGCATGGAGTTTTAGTATTGAAGAACTTAAAGTCAGAAGGGCCATTGGAGATTATCTAGTCCAGCTCTCACATTATAGCTTTGGAAAAAACTGATGTCCATGAACGGAAATGGATTTGCCTAGAGATCATAGGATAGTAGTAGAAGAATTAGGAATACAACCTGGGCTTTATTACACAGTGGTAAAAATAATAATGAAAACAACAATAATTACAATAAGAGCTACTACCATTTGGGGGGTATCTGCAATATGCCTTGTATATATATTATCTTACTTAATCCTTAAAACAATTTTTTAATATAGATATTATAATCTCCATCTTGACTAAAAGAAAAGAGTTTCTAATCCTAAGATCACACAGGTAATACATGACAAAACCTAGATTTGAACTGAGTTCTCTTATAGACTCACTATTCTATGAATTTCCCACTACTGTGTTACTTTCATCTTAAATTTAGCATCAACTTTTATTTATTCGTGCTATTAAAGCTATACAAAAATAATTGAAATTTCTATTGATGAGAAAAATAGTATTAAAGCAAATACAATATGTATTTCATGATCAATATCAGAAATCTCTAAAATAGCTAAGCTTGTTCTTGTCTCAAGGAAAGTTTGTAAGAAAACAATGTATACACTGTATTTTACCACCTCGAGTTGTAAAGAAATGGATCATTTGGAAAAAATCAATGTCTTATTCTCTCTACTGTAGGAAATATCAGTTGATTCTACTGTAGACATTCCACATTCCATTTGTGTCTTCAATTGTATAGTCTTTTTTCTTTTTTGGCTTGTCCCAGAAGTTGCTTATATTGCTTTCTTGGGTCACACAGAGATAACAGAAGGAGACTTAGATGTATTCTGTAATGAAACTTTTAGATGAACTCTTCACCTACAGAGGCATCGGTCACCAGAACTGCACTCGAGGAAAACAACCAGTTGTCTTGTGAAGCTTTACCAAAAATTTCTTCAGGGCTGCTTTTTCTCTATCGATCTCCCTGAGCTGGATATTTAAAACCTTCTGGAGTTTTTGAATGTGAAGCCTGGTCCTCTTTTCCTCTCCGAGGTTATACACAAGGGCCTTCCGCAGGTACATGGGGTCTGCTCTGAAGGTGCCCTTCTTCATTACATATCCCATTCCAGCCATGTTCAGTCTTTGGCTAAGGAGGTTCAAGACAGGACAGTGGGACTGCCTGTAGATGTCTCTGAAAAGTGATTTTCCTGTGCTATGGAATATTAGAACCCCAGCACCATGGAAACAGAGTCTCACAGAATCTTGGAGTTGAATGTCGTCAGATATCCAATTAGCCCAAATCCTTATATTTACTGATCAGAAGAAGGTTGTAAACTTGCAGATATTTTTAGTGTAGGAATAGAGATGAGTGTATCGATAAATCAGAATGGCTGTCAGGATGTCTACTGCCATCTTGTGCTTCACCTCAGGTTGAATGGTAAGTGCTTTTGGATGCACCTAAGCAGGGCCAGAATGTTTATGGAGAGAAAAAATGAGAAAGTTGATTCAATCATTTGGCTTAGTCTTAGAAGCTATTCTCAAAAAAAAATAAAAGAAAACAGAACTGCGGTTTTTAGAGGTAAGGTGGGGGAGGGGAAGAGGGAGGGGGCTGGCAAGAAGCTAGTTAAGGGTCACAATGATTGATTATGTTTTGTAAACATGAGCATACTAATTATCCTAATTTGATCCCCACATATTGTACACATGTATTGATATTTGATTCTGTACTCTACAAATATCAATCAATAAAAAATAAACTATTCATCCCTTTATGTATTCACTTGAAGTTGCTAAATAATTGCAAATGTGTCATTTGTGTAGGTTTAGGGTTAGACTTAAATTAGATGAGAACTTTTTCTTGAAGTATCTAGTATTCATATAAGAAAGATCAGGAAGCAGGAAAATAAACATGTACCTATTAATTTGCACAAAAATGAAATAAGAACTATAAACTAAAAACTGATGAGATTATGAGAGATGAAAAGAGACAAGGTGGTGGGGTGGGATGCTTCTTTGAGTATACCTTTTAATTGTTCTTACATATAGAAATATGCTAATTTTTCATGTGCTCAAAAATAACTAAATTCAACAAGGGTTGGGGGAAGTGGCACCTAAACTACTTTATGTGTATTCTAGAATCGAGCAAAGAAGTAAATATTGTGGATAATGAGAGACAGGTTCTCTTTGTTGGAGAAAGAGCTACAAATAAAGAAAGGAGGAGGCTATACTGTGGTGCTGGGTTGGAATGGTAGATATCGCTCTGAATTTATGTTTCTATGAATCTGTATGAATCTGTGGTTCTATGAATCAGCATGAATTCTTGTGAAGAAATGGCTTACTGGAAACTCTGGCCTTCAAAGATGCCGTAGAGACTTGGGACACTGACTCTCCCCAACATGGATTGAGTCTCATTTATTCCCGGCTTCAAAATTCTTTCTGGAAAATGCAGGAGACAGGTTTTATGTCCTCCTCTTTGAGTTTTATCTATGATTTTCACTTAAGCCTAGATTCTACTATTTTATCTCTTTTAAGCTCATTATGGGCAGACACAGGTATAATTCTTCCAGTCCTCTATAATCAGGAGCAGAAAACTTGAGCAACGTGGAATGTTCCTAATATATAGGAAGGCACATTTTTCTTCTGATAGGAGAAATTTACTGATTTTCGGCTTGAACTATGGCCTTTGGAAACCATCAAAAGATTTAGCAGGAACTTATTCATATTATTACTAACTACTCATGAATGTAATAGCTGATGGCCCTGTCAGACCATGCTCAGGAGATGACTCTGGCCCACACACCTGGAAGTGAGGTCCACACCTTTACAGACAGGACACACTGGCAGAGATGATCAGGTTAGCAGGAAGTATGGAAATAAATGTTTGGACAGAGAAGATTTGGGTAAGACAAGATAATGTCTTAAATCACTCAGGTGCTGTGCTGTGGAAAAGGGAGCCGACAGTGTATCCTGACAGCAGAGCCAGGATCAGTGAGTGGAAACTGCAGATCATAGCTCAGGGGCATGAGGGATTTTCCCAGCCTCTAGAGGTGTCCACTAATAAAATAACATCCTTGTTACTAGAGATGTCAAGCTGAAACAGAAGGGTCTTCAGAAAG